CATGTGCATAGAATACAGAAACTGATGCTTGCAACATCAGTAGTTTAGCTTGTCTTCCTTAATACTCATCAATTCAACATTAATTTCAACTTAAATTTTACAAACACAGAAAGAAAACTAGCTTATTGGAAAAAGGAATTTTTAAAAGACCCAAAACCAGGCTGGCAAGCTAGTTCTGTGGACTAAGCACCTGCTTAGACAAGTGCAGGGACTGGAGTTCGACCGCCGGCACCACATGCTGCACCAGCCCCGCCGCCTGACGCATTGAGTGGGCCACTGAGATGAGGCATGGAGGTGCGTGCACACCTGTAATCCCTGCGCTGGGGAGGCTGAAAACAGGAGGATCGCTGTGAGTCCGAGCTGCCAAGTAAGACCCTGTATCAAATACCTTAAAAAAGAAAAGAAAAAAAAGAAGAAAAGACCTGAAACCTTAAACTATGTAGAAATGTTTAAAACTAAAAGTCAGACTCTTCTGCTCTACTCCAAATAATCTCAGTCACAACTAACAAAAGGTTCATGTTTTTCCTTCAAGATCTTTTCTTTAAAAAAAAAAAAAAATACTTCAGGGGCTGGGGACACGGCTCAGCAGAATACGTACTTGCCTGGCAAGCACAAGGGTCTGAGTTCAATCTGCGGTTCTGCAAAAAAACAAACAAACAAACAAACAAACTTCATTATTAATGTTATTCTGCAAGTTAGCTTTTTAATGTGTAAATCTATTGTCAGCGTTTTCCCATGTTAATTCATATGGACCAATCACATTCCTTTTAGCTCTAGCACCCCATTCCACTTATGGAAATAACCCCTACTGCTGCAATCAGCGATAATGCCAAATACTTTTCCGCTCCTCTAGAGAGTCTGCCTTTCTCAGACTGCCTTTGCAGTTTCTGTATTTCCATGGGAACAGAAGTTTCATTTGTGTCCCAATGATGGCACAGCTAATCAAAATAGGATCATCTAAATGATAAAAAAAAAAAACCAACCCAAGAATAGTAGTGGGTGCTCAAGGGGAAAGAGGATGATAAGAGTGAACATTTGTGCTTAGTTTGAGGAATTTTATAATAATAAAAGAAAAATTATATGAATTTCATTTCTAGCTCTGAAATTCTAAAAGAGTTCCTTTTTATTTTAATCTAAATTAATTTTATCTAAAATCTCCGGTTTGGATCATCTCCTGTGTGAAGTTTAAGAACATCATCTTACCTGTATCCCAGGAAGAGCTGTAATTGGATATCTTCTCTCCTCTGGCACTCCTGGGTCAGTTTCCACTCCTTCCTATTGTAACTGAAGTCTTACCGCTTCTTCGGTTACACAGGTAACTGGTTTGAAATTCAACACAACAGTATGTCTTTCATAATTCTCCCAAGACAGACAATTCTAAGAATAAAGAATGACCCCAGGGTTTCTTCTCCCCCATAAGTTATAGCTAAAGGCCAGTCTGGCTTGGCCTTCCCCTAATGGTGTATAGAGGTTACTAATCTCTCTCAATTAGTATCTGCTAACCTGCAAAATGGTGGTGCATCTCAGTGCACTTTATGTTGCTATAACACAATACATAGAAAGAACAAAATTAGCTGATGGTTCTGGAAGCTGAGAAGACCAGAGCCCAGCACTGATTCCTTTTCTTTTTTTTTTTTTTTTTTTTTTGGTATTTTAGGGAAGGGTCTACAGGGTGTTCAGGGTCTCACTACTAGATTGGACTCATGATCTGCCTGTTTACAGCCTCCCAAGAGCTGAGATTATAGGCATGTGCCACCACACCCAGCCTCAATTGCCGTCTCAGTGTACCCCAGGGACAGGGCTGGCAGGACAGGTCCGGGGTTCAAACCCCTGGCCCCCGTGCCTGGCAGCACTGGTTCCTGCTTAGCTTCTGATGAGGGCTTTTTTCCTGCCTCATGAGGTGCCCCAGAGCAAGCTCACCAGCACTGGTCTCTCCTACTCTTATGAGAAAAATGCTAGTGCCATCCTGGGTGCCACTTCCATGGCTTCCGCTGAGCCTGATTACCTCCGAAAGGCTCCCCCCAGATGCCATGCCCATAAGTTTGAAATTGAGTACATGAACATTGGGACACACACTGAAAGCATAGCATGGTGCCACCTGCTTCAAATTATTACTGTCAAGAGTCAAGTGATGTGTGCAACATGTGACAGCTGAGTCCACGCTCAAGCAGCGGGCACTTGTTGTTACTTTCTGCTGAAACCAGTAGGATTGGTAGTAAGAGAGACAAAAGGAAGAGGTGGTCAGGAGAAAAGAAAATCCAAGCAATGTGAGCAGTAAATTGGAACAGCTTTGTTACAGCAGCTCTGGTACTGTTGTCCATGGTACCAGGAACCAGCAGCAACTAGGGAAACACAGTCTGGCTAATTCTGTGCGGGGAGTTGACATGCAGCATCTTCCTTCTGAGAACGAACCTGCTGGTATCTTTTCCCCACTTCAGAGGTGGCCAAACTGAGAGCAGAATGTTGACTTTGTCCAACTTATTGAACTAGTAAGAGCTGGTATGAAAACTCAGATCAGTCTGTCCCAAATCTGTCTTTGCTGACTTGCCAGGGTGCAGCCTCCTGCCTCAGGTTACCTAGTGCCACCTTAGCAGTTCTTAGGTCTTGCACATTTCTCCGCACATGACCCCACTCTGGTCACAGATTCAGGGCCTCCCTCTTGGTTAATCTCCTACTGAGTCTCTCAGGACTCTTTCCACTGCAGTCACGAGAAAGTCTATGAAATTGGCTTTAACATAGCTTGGAACAATATGCGTTGTGCACCAGAGGGCTTTGACTTCATGCCTGGCTGCACTCAGTGGTTCAGACACTGTCATCGGGGTTCCATCTCCCCTGTCTCTCAGCCCAATTTCTCTCCAGATTCTGAGATTGGCTTTTATTTTCAAAAGAGTTTCTAAATCTTAAGGCTTATAGCCACAGGGTTTAACACAAATGCACCTTTCCTCTTTTCCAGTGTCTACATCATTGATGTACCAAGTGATTTTTCACTTATTAGAACATCTGTGTAGTACATAATATGTACATTCATATACCAAATATTAATGAAAATCCTTGTGCCTGTTCCTCAACCAGTCACTATGGCTTGAGGATGGCATGTGCCCCTAGCCAGAGCTGTATCAGCCCATCCCTGTGACCAGGCAATGCAGGGCCAGCCTTACCTGAACTATAAGGAAGGATTTCCCACAGAACAGGTCCTGTGATGAAAGGAAGCCCAAGAGAAGTCCTGGTTGAGCCAGAGTCACAGATACCCTCTGCAGAATTCTTCATTTTTTCCCTCTCAGTGACAACTCTCACACCCAACTTGTTGGCTTAGACAAGCTCAGACTTTAGATACATAAAGTTTCCATAACTGTTTCCTTTTACGTATTTTTCTTGCATTCCTTTCTCTGGTCTTTATGAGATCTCCAAAAATACCATGTAAGCACAATATATCCTGCTCCCTCATTCTGCTTGATTTAGCAGGATGGTGCTGCAATTTTTGATGATTTTGGCTGCAATTTACAAAAAGCATCAATCAAAATGGCTTTCACAAGGAGGCAAACGTCCTTCGGCATACAGTGAGTGGTCCCAGGGTAGCTCCAGGAAGCACTGAGGCAATGCGTCAGGTTCTTCCCATCATTCCTCTCTACTCCCCTCCCTTCATGTTCTGGTTTTGTCCCCACTTCACCCTCAAGGTGACTGGAAGGTCCACTATCCTAGGTACCATACCCAGGTGTGACAGCACCCTGTGGGAGAAAGGACTGGCTCTGTTTTTTCACTGCAAAATTATATCACCTACTGTTACCTGGCCCACACTGTCCAACAACATGTGGCAATTTAAGTTAAATTAATTAAAATCCAGCACAAGGGGAAGTATTTAAGTCACAGTGGCCACATTTCCATCACCACAGAATGTTCTACTGGGTACCTGCCTAAACTGGTCACTGGCCAGAATGCAGTTACTATGATCAAGTTAAACATCAATAATAAAGCTTGTCACTAATACTAAGCACACCAATTATGTGCCTTGACTTTGCAGGAGGCCAGGAATGCAAACCCTCAGGAAATAAAATCCAGTAGGGGAGAGAGAGAAATCCACAGCCACAACTGAGAGTGACCCTCATAAATGCTGGAGGACAGAAACCAGCTTTGTCCAGGGTGTCATGGTTGCCCTTGATCTGACGTAAAACGGAAGGACATGTTGCTGTGGTGAGGACAACAGGGTAGTCTGTATGCACAGGTGTGTTTTGAGCTGGGCTTGAATGAAAAAGCAAATTTTTCTGTAGCCAGAGTTTTGGGGGAAGTGTTCCAGCCTAAACTCAAAGAAATCCTTGTTAGGAAAGAACCAGCGGCGTTCTGAGGACAGGTAAAGCCTAATCAAGGGCACCTATAGGTCACTGACATGGTTATAAAGTACAGGATGGATTAGGGCACGAAGCCTGGACCCCCACAGTTCTAGGAAGGCTAGCACAAGCTGCGCATCGTGGCATACACCTACAGTCACAGCACTCTGGGGAGCTGAGGCAGGAGGATCAAAAGTTGGGGCCTGACGGGTAACAATGATTTAGCAAGAGCCTGTCTCAAAATATGAATGAATGAATGAATGAATGAATGAATGAATGAATGAATGAATATATAACTCAGTACAAAGGTTCTGGGTTTAATCCCAAGTGCTACAAAAATAAACAGAAAAAAAAATGAGAAAAGAAGAAGAAAATAAAAACAAAGCTTTTGTAATGAAGAGGGGCTGAGGGGCTGAAGGGAGGGGAGAGGAATTGGAAAGAAAAGCATCAAGATATATCATGTCCAGGTACAAATTCAAGTGAAGACAAAGAGTTTGAAACCATAAAATGAGTAAAATATATCAAAGGAAAAGATTTTGTAGTAGTGTCAAGCCGTTTATAAAAATATTTTCTTTTTCTGGAATTGTCATATTTATAGACTTTCTGGAATTGTGATATTTATAAACTTTCAATCCAAATAAACTCACATATGTAGCTGAACTTTTCTCATAATTTCTCATAATTATCTTTATGACACAGCCTCTGCCAAATTTAAAAAGCTTCAGGTACCCCCGAAGCCTATATCCATTTTTGGCCAGGAAAGAGATTAAAGGTCACACTGGCGCTCGCTACTCACTGTTGCTGAGTAAGTGTTTCTGGAAGGTCCCACTCAAAGGAAGCAGGCTTAATTTGGGGGACCTGGAAAATTAGTCTCTAACCAGAATGACACATAGTCAGCCCGGCACTGCGGCAGACACTGCACTGTGGAGCAGGATTAGTTGTTCAGCAGGCAGAGCTTGGACATGTTGCTGCTGATCCCTGAAAGTCATCAGATTCACCACCTCTGAATGAAAATTTGGGGTTGGATGCACGGAAGTTCCCTTTCAACAGCATTTTTCTTGTTCTCGTGCCTAAGCAGAGCAGCATGGAGCTCTCCTATGATTTACTGTGGACGGCCCCGAAGGGTAACTCATGAATTTTTAATTTATAAAAGACTTCTATTAGGTTTGTGAAGCCTGATCATTCTTGTAAGAAGGTTAAACATATCCCTCATCTATTATTTCACATTGTTCAATTATTTAGTAAATCCTTTCCTATAATAAGGCCAAGGTAAATTTTTGCGCTGACCCCTCTGAGTTGCCACGAGTTCTGCCTAAGTGGCATCTGAAGCGGTTCAGTGTTTCTTTTGAAACTGTTCTTTCATCTACATTTCTACGTCTCTGCTGGTTCTTTTCTTTTAAACTACCTTGACTCTGGGATCTTATTTTATCTTCACCAAATTCCTAAGGAATCAATGAAACAGAAATAATAACCTCCAGTTAATGGATTCGTAAAGACCTGGGAAAGGGTAACTCAGTTTTTTACTATTTTCAGTTCACTGGGGGCAAAAGTGATTGACATATAAGTCTTTGGATGCCCACTTCCACTCTGAAAGTTGGCAAATATCAGAAAGGAATGTGGATTTATACATTTCTATATAGAGGTAGATGGTGTGGCCACCCTGGTTATCACCAGCTATCCGCATATATTAGCTAAAAGCCCTAGGACTTCATGACAGTGGCAGCGTGCATGGTAGCGTAACATCTACACACCGTGAGGACCACATCCATCCACGTTTGGAGACAAATCTAGAGTTCATTTTCAATACAAAAGGTAGGCAGTTAAGAGTAGCCAAGGGCCGGGGAGATGGCTCAGTGGAATAAGCACTTCCCTGGCAAGCACACAGACCTGAGTTCAATCCCCGGCCCCTGAAATGAAATAAAACATCCTAATACCTCCCACCAGTTCCGGGACACAGCTAAATGCACTGCCTGAGTGACATGAAACCACAGTCTAGCTCCGAGTCTGTGGAGCACAGGTAACACATGAGGACACAGGTAGGGTGGTTGACTCTGGCAGTCTCCTCTGCGGAGAGTCAGAGGGGGCCACGCAGGAGAAGTACAGTTTCTCCCCATCTCTCCTCAGCTCTAAGAGGTCAGATTCTAATCTGCTCAACAACCAAGACCCACATCCAAGGTCCAAATCTGTGAAATGTTTATGAAAGATGATGAATTTTCAAATTCTAGGGACTTTTGGAAACCCAGTCAATAAAATTGTTCTGCATTTATGAGTTGCCTAATAGTCTCAAGTCTGACATTCCACCTGTACATCTCACTCTGGGCATAGCTGCGCAGATTTGTCACAATAGCTACAGTGTCATTGCCTCTCTGCTCTAACCTTGCACTGAACTGGAGCTTCCACACAAGCATATGCACATCGAGCTGAAGAATGAGCTGTGTTTCAAACAAGTGTGGCTGGCAACTGGGCACAGAAGGCAGACCAGCTTGTGAGTGTGTTCATAAGGCCCTGGCTCTTCAGCATGAGTTTGGTAGTTGGTTGTCTTATGGCGTTTACCAGCTGTTCCTTTCATACACACACAAATACACACATTTACAATGTGAAATTTCACCAAGACAAACATCCTGAACACATTTTAGATGCAAAAGTGATGTAGGGTAAGTTTAGGGCCCAAACATGTATCAATGAGCAAAGCCAGAAGGGGGTCTGTCCACCCTCGTGGTCCACTACTGTCCCTCATGACTACATCAGGCCACTGAAGACATTTGAAGTCACCAATGCAATCAAAGGGGTGCCCTAATATTCTTAAAGTGGGAACGGCAATATCTAATTGGCAATTCAAGTTTCTCAGAGCTTTTAAAGGAGAAAAAACACATGTTGACTTTATTATCTATCTACACACTGCTTTGCAAGATCTCTTTCTACCTACCATCAAATACGTCTGATATGAGAGTTACACGTGTATGCGTGCTGCCTCTTTATCAGAGATGAACCGCAGCTATCAGAAAGGAAGGGGTGCGGAAGGCAAAGATAACTCCTGTTTAACGCACACTGCTTGGATGCTTGGAGCCATGCAATGTGTAGTTTTTCCCCATCTCTTCTCAACTCTAAGAGGTCAGAACTAACTGAGACTCTTAAATGCCAACTAACTCCCTAAAGCCTTGGAAGGAGTTGATTCTCATCTGCTCAACAACCAAGACCCACATCCAATGTCCAAATCTGCGAAATGTTTACGAAAGATGATAAATTTTCAAATTCTAAGGGCTTTTGGAAACCCAGTCAATAAAATTGGTCTGCATTTATGAGTGGCCTAATATTCTCAAGTCTGACATTCCACCAAAGAAAAGCAAAGTCATAAAATATTTTATGAGGTAGAACTGCTGATAAAGGCTAATCTACTAGGTAGGACCCAAAGAACAGATTGTTCATTATTTTTGTAACTGTTCCTTAACACTAATTAATTAACCTTGTTCAGTGATCTGGTAGTGGGATAAGAAGCTGGGATGTTAAACCAAAAGCTGGGCTCTTCTCCTTGGTTACAAAGAGATCTTACTGTTGTTATTTGCCTTTGCTGTATTCTTGTCTCGTTATCTATAAAATGAGTATAATAATCTGCTGAACGTATAATGAGGATTTATACATGAGGGGTTTTGAAAATGTTATTCAAGCATCTTGACGTCCCTCTAAGAAATACAAGCACGCTATGAAATAGGCACATGTGTGTACTCTAATGGCAGTGGTCATTGCCCGTTTGCCA